CCTCTAGAACACCTTGCCCCCCTTCTTTTTCATTTTGACATTTTGTTATCCTATCCAGTTTCTCCCTCTTCCTACACATTCAGATCTTCATACTGATACTTAACCCTGAGGTCCGTGGCTAGTTTGGGTTTCGCCCCCTCATCCATCCTATTACTTGCTGGCCAAGCCTTTCTTACCTCCTGGAAACCGGCACCTGTTCCCCTCCCCCTCCACGTTCGCGAACGAGATAAGAGAAAGGCTCGTTAAAACGCCTCTCCCAATATTATCGTACATACAGGATCCTACATACTCGTACATCGACTGCTGGCGATCGCTCTTCTAAGTATCGCCTCCTCTCTCTTCCCCCCCTCACGTGGCGGAACCAGTTTGAGGCAAAACAAAACCTCTGCGTGTTTTATCACAAGAAACTCTGACAAGCATCCACTCGACATACTTTTGTTTTGCGTCTGTTTGACTTCTTTTTTATTTTATATATTTCCACGTTGCGCGGAGTTGTGAACAGCTTCATTTAGCGGATTACTTCCGGTTCGTACCTCCCGTATCGTCCTGCTGGTGGCCGCTTATTTGCGAACTGCTCCAATCCTAATTGGGGGTTGTTTTTTTTCCCCTTCTTTTTTCTGGCCCTTAAAGTCTTCTTTTAAAGGACAGTCTTCGTCACAAGAAGAAAAAGAAAAGAAAAGAAACGAAAAAGGAAAGAAGAAAAAAAATTTCTTTTCGTTTTCAACATCCACTCAACTGACCTACTTTGTCGTCTTCTTCTTTACTCTACGTCTTCCAAAGTACGTGGGCTATTTATTGTCTGAATTGGGGGAATTAATTGCTCCTTGGTTTTTGGTGTGGGTATGCTTAGACAGCAGTCTAAAGTATCGATGATAATTCCGGTGGCTAATCGCGCACTACCAAAATAGCCGTTCTTTGGATTCCTACGTTCCCGTGTCCGTGCTCAATCTGGAGCATCCCATAGATCTCTTTTCTTCTTTTTCCTTTTCGACCTTCCTCCTTTTCGACTCCTTGGCCCACCCCGCCATTCTATTTTACTTATACGCCAGATACCCAATTTTCCTTTCCTCTGCTTGACGCCCACCGTTCTATAATCAGTCGCCATGTCGGGGAAAATGACACTGTACAAGTTGGTGGTGCTGGGGGATGGTGGTGTCGGAAAAACGGCGCTCACAATTCAGGTTAGCCCTTGACCTCTCCGTCTCTGGTCGTGACCCGAATAGCTAAACAATTGGACTCTCCTTCGCTCAATAGTTATGTCTAAATCATTTCGTTGAGACGTACGATCCGACGATCGAAGACTCGTATCGGAAGCAGGTGGTGATCGATCAGCAATCATGCATGCTGGAAGTACTAGATACCGCAGGCCAGGAAGAATACACAGCACTAAGGGATCAGTGGATCCGTGATGGTGAAGGGTTTGTGCTTGTTTACAGTATCACCTCACGGGCTTCTTTTTCGAGAATACAGAAGTTTTACAACCAGATCAAAATGGTCAAAGAATCAGCCAGTTCTGGCTCTCCCACCGGCGCCAGCTATCTAGCCTCCCCGATCAACAATCCCTCCGGACCTCCGCTTCCCGTTCCTGTGATGCTGGTTGGTAACAAGAGCGATAAAGCTGTCGAGCGAGCAGTGTCCGCGCAGGAAGGCCAGGCCTTAGCCAAGGACTTGGGCTGTGAGTTTGTTGAAGCGTCAGCGAAGAATTGCATCAATGTTGAAAAAGCTTTCTACGACGTGGTTCGGATGCTCAGGCAGCAACGGCAACAACAACAAGGAGGGCGATCTCAGGATCGCCGACCCACTGGCTTGGGTCCCATGCGCGACCGTGATGCTGGTCCAGAATATCCGAAGTCTTTCCGGACTGACCGCGGCGGGCGGCATCGTAGCTCAATAAAATGCACCATTCTGTGAATCAAGCCTCTCTTGCTGGTCGAGTTACACCCTAGCCAAGGCTAGCCGCCCAAAGGAATGAAAGGGCCCCTTGTGCACGTTTTGCGATCTGTCGTGGATGTCGGTTCCACTCCTTATCTTTCTTTGGCCTTATCTACGAGAGCCCATGCGAGCCTGCTTTATGACAATATCTTCACTTGTTTATATTGACCGCGAGTCTTCATGGTCATATGGCTCTGCTCCCAGCGCCTTACTCTGTCTTTTATTCTTGCCCCTCCGCCTATGTTTCGTCTCTCTTTTTTTATTTTAACTTTTTTTTCTCCCTCTTTCCCTCCCCCATTTTTCTTAATACCTCCACTTGTTGAGATGCAATGGTCGGTGGGGAATATGCTTGATGCATGATCTACGTTTACAATGTGGGAGGCGATCTCTGGACCATCTCAGGGTGTTTCGGCTACGGAAGGTTTTGTGTCTGAAGAGGCCGGGAGCCGCCGGGGCCTTGGAAGAATACGTTTATTTTTTCTGTTTTCGTCTATATTCATTTTCGATCCCGCCGGCTTATTACCCGCCTCCCGAATCCTTATTTGCCTTTACGACACCTTTGTTACACAACAGTGGCGCTGGAGGAAGGGAGTTTTCGATATGAATAAAACAATGGAGATGGGGTTGGTTTATGGAATGAGAGGACGGCTTCTTGAAAGAATGAAGGCAGATGGATATGTGGTTTTTGAAGGAAGTCAGAAGATGGTAGTCCACAGTTTAGCAGGCATTGCGATATGATACCCTACGGTTGAGCTTTGAGTTGCGATTTTTGATGCATTTGCGAGTAACTACTAGGTACTACTAGAAGGGAAAAAAAAGAGGCCCGATTTATTTTTATCACACTGCTTTCGCCTATGAATTTCTACGGAGAAACAAAAAAAAAAAAAAAGTGGAAAATATAAAAATGAAATGAAAAGGGATGAACATCTCGCTGTGCTTGCAATGACTGGGCTCGGAGGATGAAGAAGGTTCTATGTAAGTAAGTATAGGACAATATCCAAGGACACATGGATAGGCGATCGATTGATTAAAATCGGGTTCGAGTGCGGGGAAAGCTTCTCATCTCCTGGGCCACCTAACCTCGGTTCCTCTCTCGACACATTCTACGCCGTACAAAAGTAGTTATAACTTATTACTCTTCATGTTGGGTTGCTTCATTCGCCCCGAAGCATGTTCGTCTTCCCTACGCCCGGAGGGTTGAGAATCAGCGAATCAAACCGAATGAGCGTGAGACGCTGAGCCACAACTCCGAAATCTCGTAAGGTTTCGGATGCCAGGACGGACGCCCTTCAATTCGAGGCTTAAGAATGACACCCCTAGCATCCCCCGCATGTCTACTCCTTTGCTAGCCGCGGAATGCGATGGTGACCGACTCCTAGCCGCGGCGACGTCCGCCTGCAGGAAGACGTCTCCGATACGGCAGAGCCTTTCCAAATCCTATTGAACGCCTTCTGTTTAGGCTTTATGACCACTACTAGTAGTTACATTCATCTTTTCCTGTTTGCTCGCTTCCCCCGTCGACCACCTTCCTCCTTTCATTATGTCACGTCATCCACAGCAGCTGGTGCACAGCTCTTCGCTTCGGGACCCGGAGAGCTTCTGGTCTCGACACGCAGAGCAGCTCTCCTGGCACCGGAAACCATCCCATGTGATCAGCCGACATTCCAAAGTTCTTCCCAGCGGTGCGAGCCACGACCATTGGTCCTGGTTCCCCGATGGGGAGATCTCGACGACCTACAATTGCGTGGACCGTCACGTGGAGAAGGGTAATGGCGACAATGTTGCTATCATTTGGGACTCCCCGGTAACGGGGACGAAAGAAAAATATACTTACCGACAGCTATTAGAGGAAGTGGAGGTCTTGGCGGGTGTATTACGAGAAGAAGGAGTGCGCAAGGGTGATGTAGTCATTATTTACAGTATGACACCGAAATATTTTCGCTCTTGCCCTAGTCATTTTTGGCGCTCCTACGTACGAAAGATGTTGACTAGTATTTCCAGTGCCCATGATTCCAGCTGCGCTCATTGCCGCCCTGGCGATTGCCCGACTGGGGGCAATCCATGCGGCCGTGTTCGGAGGGTTTGCGGCCAAGTCCCTCGCACAGCGGATTGAAGCTGCCAGGCCACGAGCCATCATGACGGCGTCATGTGGTATAGAAGGGTCGAAGGGCCCTGTTGCCTATAGACCATTAGTCGAGGGGGCTATTGAGGCAAGCAGCTTTAAGCCTGAAAAGGTCATTGTTTGGCAAAGAGATCAGCTGCGGTGGAATCGACCCGATAAGCTGGGTGGACAGCGCAACTGGCAGCGGTTGGTCAAAAGCGCACGCATGCGTGGCATCAAAGCCGGACCGGTACCTGTGGCTAGCACGGATGGATTGTATATAATATATACTAGCGGTATGATCCAATGCCTTGGAAATGATGTTTCGTTAATTACTATAACTAACAAAAATACTCAGGTACCACCGGATTGCCAAAGGGAGTTGTTCGAGAAGCTGGCGGACATGCAGTAGGATTGCATCTATCTATTAGGTATCTGTTTGGCATTCAGGGTCCAGGTGATGTAATGTTCTGCGCTTCTGATATCGGGTGGGTAGTCGGCCACTCCTACATCCTATACGCGCCTCTTTTGGTTGGCGCAACCACAGTACTCTTCGAAGGAAAGCCTGTTGGAACCCCAGATGCGGGAACATTCTGGAGGGCTATCGAGGAACACAAGGCCAACGTCCTATTCACAGCACCCACGGCCATGCGTGCCATCCGAAAGGATGATCCAGACAACAAATTCTTCGAGGAGGTGGCCCGTCGTGGTGGCCTGAAGCATTTCAGAGCTCTTTTCCTCGCCGGCGAGAGGAGTGAGCCTAGTATTGTCCAGGTGTATCAGGATCTTCTATCCCGTTATGCCGCCCCTGGCGCCATGGTCGTAGATAATTGGTGGTCATCCGAATCAGGCTCACCTATCTCCGGGCTGGCGCTACGAAGCACAGCAGGAATGACCTTGGGCGATGATAGGGAACTAGAGCTGCCGTTGGCTATTCGACCAGGGTCGGCCGGATTGCCAATGCCGGGATTTGACGTTCGGATTGTTGATGATGAAGGCCGAGAAGTTCCCCGAGGGACGATGGGCAACATCGTCCTAAGTATGCCATTGGCTCCCACGGCCTTCACTCGATTATTTAATGACGACGAGAGATTCTACAAGGGATACCTCAAGCGCTTTTCGGGTAAATGGATGGACACAGGGGATGCAGGTATGATTGACCAGGATGGGTACATTCATGTCATGGCGCGATCGGACGATATCATCAATGTGGCTGCGCATCGGTTTAGTACAGGTATGCATCTTTAATACTGGGCCTGATCTCACATCAACTCACATGGTTTGATACAGGCGCAATTGAACAGGCCATTCTGTCACATCCCGAGGTTGGCGAGGCCAGCGTTGTTGGCATACCGGACGCACTGAAGGGACACCTTCCTTTTGCCTTTATCCAGCCACGGACTGCTTCTGGGCCCCTGCCAGCGATACCTACCCCGGAGCTGTTCAACGCGATCAATCAACGGGTCCGCGAGCAGATCGGCGCAATCGCATCCCTCGGAGGCATGATACAGGGACGCGGGATGATCCCGAAGACGCGCAGCGGTAAGACGTTGCGGCGAGTATTGCGGGAGCTGGTCGAACACGGGGTGCGCGGGGATTATGGGGCCCCTGTGAGCATACCGCCGACAGTGGAGGACGCCGAGGTGGTGGAAATAGCGCGAAGCAAAGTGCGAGAGTACTTTGAACAGAAGCAGCAAAGCCGAGCCAAACTGTAGATGGCCAGCAAGCAAGAGCTGCACAGCCTCGGATACCAGCATGTCGAGTGGGAAAAGCAAAGCAAGGGCAGGTTACTCTACAGCTTCTCTCAGAATGCACAAAATCTGTATAAACCGTAATGAACTATTATAAAGTCTGTAAGGTATACACAGGAAGGTCGAACTTCCAGGAGGCACTAAAGCCATCAAAAGATCAATATTAACAGAAAAAAGCCGTAGAGAGATATCAAAGAAAATACAATATGTATGGTATAGGTCGTATCACCAGTAAACAGTGGTCTAGACACTCCAACAACAGTTCAAAAAAGAATTTAATAACTCCGTCATCATAGTCAAGTACATCTATGCGATATGTTCCCACCTGCGGAGAATGCAGGCGACATATGGATCGCAATCATGACGACGGACGCCGAGAATAAAGACTGAAAGGGGGGTAATAGAGAAAATGCAATCAATCCGTCCATCCGTCGAAGTTTAGATCAGTTTACAGCAGAACTGCAGCGAGACCAAAGACGGTCGCAAGACCGGCACCGGCGCCAACAGCCGCGCGAGAGCCACCGCTCGTGAAGAGAGGGACAGCGGGGGTGGTAGCGGAGCCGGTAGGGGAGACATCAGAGGGACCGGAAGCAGAAGGAGCAGGAGGAGCGTTGGTGGAAGCCGGGTGGGTGGTCGAAACCAGAGGGGTGGAGGAGATGACGATGCTGCTGCTGCTAGGGCGCTTGATGATGGAGGAGCTGCTGCTAGGGCTAGGAGTAGCCTTGGAGCTGCTGGGGACGCTGGGGACGGGGACAACGGGGATAACGGGGGAGCTGGGGGTGGAGCTGCCGACAGGGTTGACGCCAGTGGGAGTGCCAGCAGGAGGGGCAGTGCTGGAGCTGGGATCTTGTAAGCTTGATGATCTATACGAGGGTGCTGATATATAACATACCACTTGTTGCACTCAGTCACGGTCGAGGTGATGAGAGGGCGAGTGGTGGTGTAACCCTAGTATCTGATCAGTATAATCCTACAATTGAAATACCGCGACGGCGAGAGTGAAGAGAATCTGGGAACATACAGCAGGGATGCTGATAGACTCGGTGGGAGAGACACCGATGGCATCGGTGGACTTAGGGCAGTAAGTGGCGGTTTCGGTAACGATAACAGTGCTCACTTCCTCGGCGACGACACCAGCGGCCACAGCGGCGAAAACAGCAGCGACGGAGAAACGCATTTTGTCTAGATTTGTTGTTTCTGTCCAAAGAATGGTGAATTGAAATTAGCGGTTGGATGGTTTTTTTTTTCGTTGTTCTCCCCGAAGGTAAAGAGTGACGTGAAGTAAAGAATGTACTCGGTAGGGACCGGAATAAATGTATAGTGATTGACAGACTTGGGGGTGGGAAAGGAAAGGGAGGAGAAGGAGAAAAGAGAGCGTGAGAGACTAATTAATATAATAAGTTGAAACAAAGGAGACTAGAGTAACTAACTAACGTTTGATTACATCCTACTTCTGTACTAGTCGTCGACGGACAACCATCGATGGTGTACACAAACCGTGTGTGGCAATTACATCGGAGACCTCTCGGATTGGATGATCGATCCCGCGCGCCATATCCACTTAGATCCACTGTTATGCACACATCCAGGTACCAGGCACAAACCCCCTTTTTCTTTCCAATTTTAATGGGGTTCTTGTACTCCACGTTCTTCACCGCGTGTTCCTGGCAGTAAATAGGTACTTACGTATGTGTTTGTTTGTTTGTATGCTTGCTTGCTTGTTCGAGGTTGCGCAATTTTGGTCGGAGAATACTATATATCTCATATTGCTTTGTGAGACGAGTCAAGACAATTAGGAGCTGAATGCCGCAAGGGCTCTTCCTCTTCAACTTCCTGGCTGATCACCTCATCTATCCATACATACAGACCGAGTCATAGAACCCAGTTCCCCCGTACCCAACAGAGTTTTCTTCCTATCCGCCCTGAGGATCATTGCCCGGTTCAGTGACCACCTGGGGCCCAACTCTAAGATATGGTCTATCATTCGTTCAGCAGCACCCAATGGCAACTTTCTCGGCGACGCAATTATTGAGATTGCCCTCCTGTTCTATTTTTTGCGTTGCTCGGATCCAGTCAGGGTCCAAAGCGTGAAGCGAGCACAGGCATCAATCACCTGTACATCGACTAAGCACTATCCGAACGTCAGGAATCCAGACGGTCATGAGTTGGCAAAATCACCAACTGACGTGTCTGGTCAATCTCTGTATCTTACTCAGTAACAAGGACTTATTTGAGTGTAAGATGTCCTGCAAGGCACAACTACACTATGACCAGACCGGCAATATCATCATGCTGCCACTATCCTGAATAACCTCAAACTCTCGGTAAAGATCACCCAGTCTAGACCCCATGACTTCTTGAACTATTGCATGGTTTCTGCGCAACCAGGGCAAAGAGACTACTCCGTACTTTGCTGTAAATATGATTTGAGATCGACAGATTGACATTGAGACTAGACTACTGCTAACGACATGGGTGCCCTGGACAGCACTGGCGATCGAGTCGAGACCCGGCATCTCAAAACAAGAGAAGGCAAAGCAGGCAACACAGACTATTAATTGCATATCATAATCATTATATGATATAGAGTAGATGATATATTCCATCAATCCTATCGTCTTCGTCGGCATATCCAGCATAACACAACCTCCAATCCGATCGTTCATTGTCCCAAAATGGATGGTGAACGGCGGGACACTTCAGCATCGCCCGGGAAAAGCCAGCAGAGCCGTCCTTCCCACGAGAACTGACAAGTTAAAACCTTTTCTTCATCTTGGATTTAGTTGTGTGAAGAAAAAAGAAGAAAAGGAAGGGGGTCGGAATCGGAAAGTCCATAAAAAAATAAGCGAGCGGAGATGGAATAACTGTTAATACGATTGCCGGAGATGCTAACCCAAAAAACGACTAGTGGGTTGCTTTCCGCGGGCAACGGCAATCACCGCGCGGTTAGTTGTCCGATGATAGGACAGCATACGGCGGTTCATCCTCCATTACTTCTCATTAAATTCCGATCTATTTCCCCTCTCCCTTCTTTTTGTTCGATTGTAGACTCGTCTTGTCTATTGTAAGCAAGTACGACAGGAGATTCAAAATGCTGAGCCGCTGTGGTCGCCAGGCTTTGCGATTGGTCCCGCGCACGGGAAGCTCTGCCAGAGCTGTCGCCATCACTACTCAACTCCGACCGGCTGCTCCCTTGCGCGCCTCCAGCTCAATCTCTCAGAGCCGGAGTGTGTCATCCTCCAGTCGCGATGGACAGCAACATGTATGTGCCCTTTACTCTCGATCGCCCCGAGAAGATTGAACAAACGCGCGCAAATGTGGTGAAGTCCCATGCTAACGTCATCTCCGCAGTTGCTCTCCGCACACCTCGAGGAGGAGGACCCCACAATCTACAATATTCTCCAGAAGGTTGATTTTCCCCATTGCGAAGTGGTCCCACTGCTGTGAATAGTAGTACTTATGTATTTTTGCAGGAGAAAAAACGTCAAAAGCACTTCATCAACCTGATCCCTTCAGAGAACTTCACTTCACAAGCGGTTCTTGATGCCCTCGGCAGTGTGATGCAAAGTCAGTCCACCACTCCGACCTATGTGCACTGCTCCCAACTAATCAGCTACCAGACAAGTACTCCGAAGGTTATCCCGGTGCCAGATACTATGGAGGAAATGAGCACATTGATGCGTCAGAGAGGTTATGTCAACAGCGTGCCTTGGAGACCTTCCGACTCAACCCAGAAGAATGGGGCGTGAATGTTCAACGTAAGCTTTCCCCGGTTAGCGTGGAATATTGGAGTCGTGGCTAATGGTTGAACAGCACTCTCCGGTTCCCCCGCCAACTTGTATGCCATCTCCGCCCTTCTCAACACTCATGACCGCCTGATGGGCCTCGACTTGCCTCATGGTGGTCACTTGTCACATGGTTACCAAACTCCAACAAAGAAGATCTCATTCATCTCGAAATACTTTGAGACTCTTCCTTACCGGCTTGATGAGTCCACTGGTCTCATTGATTATGACGCTCTCGAGAAGCAGGCGCTGCTCTATCGTCCCAAGCTCATTATTGCCGGTACTTCGGCCTATAGCAGATTGATCGACTACCCTCGGATGCGCCAGATCGCAGACGCAGCTGGTGCATACCTCCTCAGTGATATGGCTCATATCTCTGGTTTAGTTGCTGCCGATGTACTTCCCTCGCCTTTCACTCACTCTGATGTGGTGACAACGACTACTCACAAGTCCCTGCGTGGGCCCCGTGGTGCCATGATCTTCTACCGCAAGGGTGTCCGCCGGACGGACAAGAAGGGTAACCCGGAAATGTATGACTTGGAGAATCCTATCAATGCCTCCGTCTTCCCGGGCCATCAGGGTGGCCCTCATAACCACACCATTACCGCTCTAGCAGTTGCACTGAAGCAGGCTCAGTCGGCCGAGTTCAAGTCTTACCAGGAGACTGTCCTAGCCAATGCTAAGGCATTGGCTGACCGCCTTGGCAGCCCTCTCAACAACGGGGGTCTGGGTTACAACATTGTGTCCGGTGGAACGGATAATCACCTGGTCCTCGTGGATCTGAAGAACCGTGGGGTTGACGGAGCTCGTGTTGAACGTGTTCTAGAGCTCTGTGGCGTTGCTAGTAACAAGAACACCGTTCCGGGAGATCGGTCCGCCTTGAAACCCGGTGGTCTCCGCTTGGGTACTCCTGCCATGACTACTCGTGGCTTCCAGCCCGAGGACTTCCGTCGTGTGGCCGATATTGTTGACCGCGCGGTCATCATCACCCAAAAGCTGGACAAGGTTGCCAAGGAGAGCGCTGCGGCTAAGGGCGTTAAGAACCCGAACACCGTCAAGGCTTTCCTGGAATATGTTGGCGAGGGCGAGGAAATTTCAGAGATTGTGCTCCTGCGGCAGGAAGTCGAGGACTGGGTAGGAACATTCAGCCTTCCTTGGAAGGACGAGTAACCGGCTTGTCTACGAAGAACTATGAGATAAGGCACTGGTCGGGTTTAAATCAATTATCACGGGAGTTATACGAGCATTGACCTTAACGTTTTCATCTTGCTATTTGATGTCTGTATGTACCATGTACAAAAATTTATTCAAAGCCACTTGAAGCCTCGGTATCCGGTAGGATTGAATGCAGCGGAACCATTAACCTATCATGGACAAGTGTCCCGGCTTGGCAGTCGCTATCTCCTTCCCAATTCCAGGCTGTAAATAACGTTGGAGTTATGTACTTCCGGCCATCGGTATGTAGGGACTCGGGAGCCTGAATGATGTGAGTACTACTAGTAGTATCCCTGTTAAGCGCAAGCGCTAGCTCAAAGTTTACCGGTAAAAACCATTGATACCTCCACCTCGCCCAACGACACCTGCAGCTTTCTCAGGTATTCCAGACAAAGCAAACAGCTCACGCCATGGAAATCAGTCAGGTAAGGAGCCGTCCAACATCATTTTCCCCAATCGAATACCATGATACTCATTTCGTTAGCTGTACATATACCCCATCAAATCCCTTCGGGAAGTAGCCGTTCCCGAGGCTGTCCTCACCAGTACCGGCTTTCAGTATGACCGGTGTTTCATGTTGCTCAAGGTCAACCAAAACGATGATGGTGTCGAAACCCTCCAGAACATGCATGTACCGCATTTCCCCGAAATGAGTTTGTTTCTAACAGACATCGTATTCCCAACTGAGGGTGAGAACAATGGAAAGATCATCGTGACATATCGCCCACCAGGAGTGAAAGACAATGGTAATCCTCAGGTTAAAACTTTGGACATACCATTAAAGCCAGACGTGCAGGGGTTGGAAGAATTGACAGTTACAATGCATCAAAGTCCGACAAAGGGTTATCATATGGGCAGCAAATATAACGACTGGTTTAGCCAATGTTTCGGATACAAGGTGGTTCTTGTATACTTGGGCCCACATTTGAGGAGGGTCTTAGGAAGCTTCCCACCGGGGAAAAGTCAGGCACATCGTGAACAAGTGACTCCACTTGTTTCTAAGCGGTCGGTGACCGTCTTGGCTCTTCTGAGCTTGCTTCTGAATATCAGTGTGCCACTTGGACAGAGAGACATTACCTCGTTCATTATCTTTGTACTAATGACTACAACTGTTGCTGTTCTCATGGCTCTTGGTGCTAATAGATACGGAGCTGGAGGCGGTAAAACGAAGGAAGAAAGAATCACGTTTGCCGATACAGCACCGTATCTTATGATATCAGAAACTTCGGTAGACAACGTGTCTGCCCGCTTGGCTGGCGACGAGACGATGGACCTGAGAAAAGCCCGGCCAAACATTGTCATTTCGGGTGCTAAAACGGCTTTCGAGGAGGATTTCTGGGCGGAGCTGATGGTGGGAGAAAAAATCCGACTCCTGTTGACGGCGAATTGTATCCGATGCCAGAGCCTCAACGTTGACTATATGACAGGGAAAATGAGAACAGGCGACAGTGGCAACATTCTTAAGAAGCTGATGAAAGACCGGAGGGTAGACAAGGGCGCAAGATTCTCCCCTGTGTTTGGGAGGTATGTGTTCCTAGACCGGGACTGCGAGAACGCCTCCATCCGGGTCGGAGAAGAGGTGACTGTATCCAGAAGGGTGGAGGAGCGGACAACATATGGTAAGCATGACCTTCAATTTGCGAACTGGCTCCATTGACCTGTGATTACTGATTATGTCCAGATTGGCCTGGCCTGACGAATTGAGTTGTAATTTACGTGTAGTCCTTTTCGGTCTAGTGTTTCGTGGCGGCTCAGGTCGATATATAGAAGTTAGTATTCCAGTGCTTATCAGCAGTTAGATACGTTATTCGACTTGTGTTCCGTCATTATACATTGAATGATGAGTAGTAATCAGATCCAGTGACGGTGCCAAGACATTTGGCATTGCATTATCAATCACCTCAACCTTCAGCAATCATAGAGTTTATCTTCACCTTTATCCATAATCGCGCAGTCATAATGAGCGAATTCCCACCGTCGAGTCTTCAGCCCCTTGTCCAGGAGGTCTTTGAACTTCTCAAAGCGAAGAAGGAGACGATATCCGTTGCGGAGACGGTATGTCGTCATCTTAGTCCCGTAGTCCTTCCCGGCTTGCTAACCTTCCAGGCCGCTGGCGGACTCATTTCAGCAAGCCTGCTCTCTGTTCCTGGAGCGTCAGCTGTCTACAAGGGTGGTTTGACTGTTAGTCTATCCGATATTACCATCCTTTGATCCAAAAATTATACTGCAGTATAAAGATTGACATGACAATCAAGGTATACACCCTGGAATCTCGGATCGCCTTTGCCGGATGGACTCCGGCTCATCTGGAAACCTACAATGGCCCAACGCCCGCTATTGTGGCCCAAATGGCCGACCACGTTCGCCACACTCTCGGTTCCACCTATACAGTGAGTGAGAGTGGAACAGCCGGGCCGACCGGCGGGACGACGAGGAATCGCACTCCGTAGGAATTCTATCCGTGATTTCAAGCAGAAGAACATTGAGGCAAGGCTAATGACTCGCAGAGGCTACGTAGCTGTCGCAGTATCAACTGCACATGGAACGTACACACGAGAAGTGGAGACGGGCAGTAACGATCGGCAGAAGAACATGGTTACCTTTGCTGAAGAGAGTTTGAAGTTGTTGAAGGATGTGCTTGTTGGGAAGGCAAATCTATAAACCACCGGGACACTTCCTGTGGTTTGTGCTTAAAGATAAAAAAAGACTAGGATGAGACAAGAATTCTTCCTTTTTTATCGCATGAAATTCGCGATCCATGGTTTAAACCTAAACCCACTTTAGCTGGTAAATTTGGTCTTCATCTCGTACTTTCGTATATGACCTGGATTGACTTCATTCTAGCGTCTTTCTGGAACATGGAACTGAGTAGGTAATCTGTACGCTGGATGCCTTATTTTCTTGAGGTCATCAAGGTACTATAGTATCACACGGAGTACTCCTAGTACTAGTGCCACAGCCCCAATGACGCAGCTGAGCACCGCCACATTCCCCGTGACACCCCACCAATTGTCATTGTTGAGTCTGACTAAAGCACTTGAACGGCAATAGGTGGAAAGCAGAGTGGAAAATCAGTCCTAGCCCAAGAACAGTTCAAACCTAATCTTACTGGTCACTGGTTCGTTGATTCTGCAGTCACGGTAAGACACTCATGGAAAAGATCTTTTTTAAATCTTCTTTCACTCCCACTACAAAGTATACTATACCCCTCCCAAATTCACTTTACAACCAGATTTTATCTCTCACTCTCTCGAGAATACCTCCGGTCATTTGTCTTGTCCAATACATCCCGGTGACTTCGTGCTTTTCCTCGATCGGTTTCGTCATCTGCCGCCCACATCGAGCGGATCAGGCGCCCATATATTCCCGCTCCCTCTTTGGGTGTCTCCAGCCCACCAAGGGATTGGCACAATGGATACGACAATCCTTCGTCGCAAAGATACTACCAAGGGTCCTCCCTTGCGGATCTTATCGTTAGGTATGCTTTCGGTTCCAAAGAAACCTGGATATAGATCTTCGAGCTGACAATTCAGATGGTGGCGGCGTCCGCGGCTACTCGATGCTCATCATCCTCCAGGAACTTATGTATCGCGTTTATGTCGAATGCGAAGGCAAGGCTCCTCGTCGCGATGAAATCCCCAAACCCTGCGATCACTTTGATCTCATTGTCGGCACCGGCACCGGCGGCTTGATAGCTCTCATGCTGGGCCGTTTACGGCTCGATCTCGAAACCTGCAAAGAAGTCTATGTGCGCATGACCCGTCGCGTTTTCGAAACGGATAAGACCATCGCTGGAATTCCTTTTCGGTCAACCCTGTTCAAAGCCTCGAGATTGGAGGATGCTATTCGTGAATGTGTGCGTGAACATACCGTTTTCGAGGCGGAGGGAAATGACATGGCGCCCGGCGCTCGCACATCTTTTGCCCACACGCCATTCAGCCCCAACTCGATCCCCCAGCGCTCCGGTAGCCGTGCCAGTTTCAGCACCGTTGGTTCGCATTCCTCCAATCCCAGTCAGCGGGATTCGACATTCATCAATGGTCTACGCTGGGGTAATCCAAATGCGTTGTTGTACGACAATCGGGAGTATCGCACCAAAACGTAAGCTCTCTTTCTCCTATGCCTTGATTTTTCGTCCTCTCTTATCGTATGTACTTTGGGCTAACATACGATGTCAACAGAGCGGTCACAGCATTGTATAAGGGCACTACGCGCAACGGATCCGCTGTATTCTTACGATCTTACGACTCCCGAAAGGAACCCCCTCCGGAGTTCAACTGTACGATCTGGCAAGCTGGTCGGGCAACGTCAGCCACTGGGCTTGCTTTTAAACCAATTCAGATTGGACAACATGTCTTCATTGACGAAGGTGCCGGCACCTATAACCCTGCACCGCAGGTCCTGGATGAAGCGACAGTCAACGAGTGGCCCGGTCGCGAAGTTGGAGTATTTATAAGCGTTGGTACAGGTAAACGTCCACCGGGTACGAATAATCGACAGCATGAATGGTGGGAGGACTTCTTTGGCGATGCGCTGGGTACATTTGCAGAGGCGCGCCGTCGACTGATCTCTAAGATCGAAGGGTGTGAAGATATCCACAAAGATATGCTCCGGGAGCATTTGGCCAAGCGTAACGTGGTTAAGGATAACTACTACCGGCTGAATGTCGAAGTCGGTGTGGGGGAGTTTGGTATGAACGAATGGAACCGACTGGCGGACATCAGCACCAACACTCGTCGCTACCTCACCAGGCCTGAAGTGAAGAAGCAAATTCTTGATGCTGGCGTTAAGTTTGCTAAAATTGAGCGCATGCACCGTCGGGCGGCAGCGCATGCGGCAGCTGAGAATGATATGTCCAATTTCCAGGATGACAGTTCTATAACTCAGAGTCCAAGGCTGTCTGTGGTGCCGCCTCCAATCCCAGATGCGGTGGAATTGCCCGCTGAACTACCGGGCGATTTTACCTTGCTCTCACCAGCAGGGCCGCCCCCACTACCGATGAACGACGATGTACTCCCAACTCATCCAATGCCGCAGGATGCAGGTTCGCCAACACCAGCGCGGGGTTCAGTCAGTGACCTGAGCGACATCAGCCGACCTAGCTCACAACAGCACGGGTCTCCGCGACGAAGTACCGATCATGTGCATAATGGCATGCCGCCACCAGTACCTCCAAAGACCCCAATTCCGTACCCCAGCGAGTTGGGAGGAATTCCAATGCCTACCCCATTGGTAACCACGGCGGGTCCTCTGGGGCACGGATCGAATGGGAAGATTCGGCCGCCCTATCCAGTGGATGAGCATCCACCTGTGGTCAACAAGCAGCGAAAACCAAGTTACCACGTGCGATAAGTCTGCTTTCCAGTCTATTTTTTTTTTCTTCTTCGTCGTTTTCGTGTTTTCTTGATTTGTTCAATTTGAACGTCACGAAGTACCCGCATGTTCTTGATGGGCGTCATGTATAATGATTGGGGATTTTTTTTTCTCTAGGTGCAGAGAGAGATTCATAGTTTTCCTGGTTTCCTTTTTCTACACTTTCTTCTTTATTTTTGTTTTCTTAAAGGAGCTTCCTTACAACTGTGGTTGTGGTTCAAGTGTGATGATGATGAGCATTGTTATTATACCCTTTAAGTTAATCTCAGATTGGTTCCGGAGATTTAATATTTAGCGAGTGGTTCCCTAGGAGATCTAGACTCCGGCTGGATTCCTTATCATAAATCATTACCGATGCATGTCTACCTCGTATTTCAATGTAGTAAAAATCAAAGGAAAACCACAAAGGAGCAAGTGGTAAGTAATTACTGTCTTTTATGTGTAAAGAATTATCCAGTTCATTGTAGAAAAGTAGAAAAGTAGAAAAGTAAGAAAAATAAAATACCAAATCAAAAAATTAAGAGATCAAGATTCGTCATTTTATCTTGTAGTATATCGGATGGTAGTGGGTCACGCTTCTGTTCCACCCGCACCCAGCCTCTCGTTTTCTTACTTGCTTCCTTTCGTACAAGGTTTTCTTATTTGTTCCCTGGGCTCTTCCTAGTCTTTCTTCTTCTCGCTCCTGGAATTATTTTTTGGTCTCTTGCCCCTTACTTCATGCATGTCCTTAGAATAAACTCTGACACATTCCCCGGCGCTATCAACCACGCATTCCATCCCTGCCCTCTCTATCTAACCTTCGAAGCGCCCAGTCAAAACCTTTATCGCCGCTCGCACAAGTCGCTTCCATGGAGTAGCGGTCGTTTCGCGCCGATTCTATTTTTATTCGACTATTCATATATATCGTCGTGTACATATTCCCTCAACGCAGATAACAAAACACACTGCTGGCAGTGTTCATGCGCGCTTCCGTTACACATGGATTTTTCAACTCTCGAGGCTCGCTCCGATTCAGGGAGCGGTCGGCCGGCTTCCTATAAAGCCATCGGTATTTCTTTGGCTGTCGCATCGGGCCTATTCATCGGTGTATCGTTCGTACTCAAGAAGACGGGTCTGCTGAGGGCCAACGTCAAATACAATGAGGAAGCCGGCGAGGGGTACGGATACCTGAAAAACTTCTACTGGTGGGCGGGTATGACGCTGATGATAATCGGGGAACTTTGCAACTTCGTCGCTTATGCCTTCGTTGATGCGATTCTGGTCACTCCGCTGGGTGCGCTGTCGGTTGTGGTGACGACGATCCTATCTGCTATCTTTCTCAAGGAACGGCTGAGTTTCGTCGGTAAGGTTGGCTGTTTTACCTGCATTCTCGGATCTGTTATCATTGCGATGAATGCGCCTGAGCAGTCGTCCGTAAGCAACATCCAGGAAATGCAGAAATATGTTATCACTCCCGGGTTTTGTCGTACGCCGGCGTTATCATCGTGGGTAGCATTATCACGGCTGTGTGGGCTGGGCCTCGATACGGAAAGAAGAGCATGTTCGTCTACATTAGTATCTGCAGTTCTATCGGTGGGTTAAGCGTAGTCGCTACACAGGGACTGGGCTCGGCCATTTTGGCACAGATAAACGGGGAATCGCAGTTCAAGCATTGGTTTCTCTACGTCTTGTTTGCGTTCGTCGTGGCGACTTTATTGACAGAAATCATTTATCTCAATGTTCGTCCCCACATACCTTCACTCCTCTTGCTGGTTTCTTTCTTGTCTCTTGAAATTTTACTAACGCCGCCCAGAAAGCGTTGAACATCTTCAATGCCGCCCTAGTCACCCCCACCTATTACGTCTTTTTCACCAGCGCCACGATTATCACTTCAGCAATCCTCTTCCAAGGCTTCAAAGGGACCGGTATGCAGATCGCTACAGTCATCATGGGCTTTTTGCAGATCTGCGCCGGTGTCGTCCTCTTGCAGCTCTCCAAGTCCGCCAAAGACGTCCCCGACTCTGCTGTCTTCAAAGGCGACCTGGACCAGATCCGTGAGGTGGCCACACAGGAAGAACCAGAAACTGAGCCCAAGGCCGATTCTATCCGTGGTACTGCCGCTATTATTCGTAGGATATCGACACCACGCCGTACGATGGAGGCAGAGGAGGCACGACGCTATTTAAGAGAACGACAAGAAGATAAGCTACACCCGCCTGCAGAGAACGAGATCATCGAGTGGGATGGATTGCGCCGGCGCAAGACTGTCCTCGGTGAAGGACCAACGATGACCCGGAGCGCAACTCGCACACCGTCAGTTAAGAGACCGCTTCCCCCATTGGGAATGTCCCGGTTTCCAGATGAATCAGAGCGCCCCAATACCAGGCAAAGCGGTCATTCTTTCTTAGATGAGATACGAATGCGGTCACCGAGTCATTCGTGGCAGCCAATCCGAGACCATGATCCTAGTCAACCGGCGGCTTTGGCGCCTATGTCATCAATCCATAGCAGAAACGTCGACACAAGTTATCCCGGACCACCTCGAAGTGACACATCTCATTCTATAACATGGGCAGACGAACCTCCTGAACCTCCGGTACATGGTTCTAAACGCCAATTTTCATTCCATGCTTTCCACCGACCCAAGTTTGAAATGCCTAAGTCTCCTCGGGGCATCTTGCGGAAGGGCCATGAGCGTAAACCCACGGAAGAGGAACGTTTAGGGCTGGTTCGAGGAGACTCAAGGGACGATACTGGTGAGAAACTGGATCGTACATATTCAAATGATAGTATGGAGGACGAATTGCCATTAGGTGCACATACGTTTGCCGCAGCGCCGCCATACGAAGAACATCACTTCCACCCAGTCGAGGCTAGCCCACCGCGACCGTCCCGGCTTATACGGAACCCCCTGCCGCCATTGCCGGACGAACCGCCTCTAGAGCCCTACACTCAGGTCGAGCTTGGTTTGCCTAGCCACCGCCGCATGTCTGACGCAAGCGCAGGGTCGCTGTCATCAGGCCCAAGCAGGGGTTGGGAGGGAGGATGGCGACGGCCTTCGAGCGATGGTGAGACAAGGGGTGGGCCAAAAGGCGCTCTTACGTAGACATGCTTGTATGATAATGATAACGATGTATATATAACATAACGACTTGATTCATGAGGGTATCACAATACATGACCTTAAAAACATCCGAAACCATATCAGATCCCAGTAAAAGACAGAACACTCCTTTGCCCCTTTGGCATAATATCCATTGCAAATCTAGCCTCAGACAACCGCTTCCCAGCTTCGATACTCTCCAGGGCCCTATGTATTATAGTCAGCACCAACCACACCAAACCCGGAAAGATAAAGTACCATTCAACGAACACGACCTTGATCCCTTTCCACCCACCCCGGGAGATCTCCTTCTGTAACTTCGAAGCCGCAAGTCCCCCACCGGCACCCATGCCAGGCCCGGTATTAGGCTTCGCAACAATAACATGGGAGACCTTCCTCGAAAGCGACAGCGAAACAGTGGCCCCATGCATGGTAAGAAGCCGTTTCAAATAGTGATCCGAGACAGCTGGATGACAAGTGCTGTTAATATAAACCGTAAGGCCCTTAAAAACCAGCGGTATATCCTTGACCTCGGTCGACAATGACAATGACGACGACGACGACGACAACAACTCATCCGGTGACGCATTCACAACTTTCGAAACCTTCAACTTCGACTCCCGATCCATCCCCGAGTCAGACACATCCCTCGACCGCTTCCCCACGCGCATCATAGACCGGATATCTCGCTGTCCTGCTGCTGCATCCCTTGATTCTTCTCCCCGGGTCGTATGAGACCACACCCACTCCCCTTTCTCTGCTTTGTGGTGCGAGGTGCCATCCCCCGGTGAATCTGTACAGTCGCCCGACGCGGAGCCGAACTGTCGAGCAAGTTTCTCTTCTCTTGTTCGACGCCATGCGGTCCCTGTCGATGAATCGGCCCGTTGGTGGCCCGTGGCGCTGCTATTCCAGGGGTCGAAGGTGAGGTGGTTTGGGGGGTTGGGGTTGGTTTTTGGGAGGGGGTTGATGTGCGGTGGACATTTTTCTTTTCTGGGTTTTTTGGGGATGAGGTTTTGATATGTTATCCCTGGATTTGTAGGGTTTTTGTTGGAAGATAAAAAGTCCGGGTTGCATTATACCCATGGTTCGGTGTTGATGTTTTGCTGTTTTGGGCTAGCTTTGCTTCGCTTCGGGTTTGGTATGTGGAATCGCTCTGGAATTTAGACGTTGGAATAATTGGCATTGCGTCATGGCGGAATCGTAGATAGATGGTCTATGGGCGTATATACATGTAGATGAGAGAATAAAGAAGAAAAAGAAAAAAAAAAAGAAATTTACCACACATCCTCCTGCCACTTGTTTCTTCTCTTCATTCTCGTCCTCCATTCATTCGCCTCGTCCTGACCCTTCACGCTCATTACTCCCGCAACCGCCTTCTCGACCTCCCTTGCCATCTCGGCCTTTCCACAGATGTAAAAGTTGGCTCCCTCATCGATCAATCGGTAAACATCATCGCCCACTTCTGGGATCTTATCTTGGACGTATTGCTTGTTGCCCTCACGCGAGTACGCGGTGACGATGCGCAACTTCTCTCCCAGCGCCCTCGTCATCTCGTCCAGCTCATCCCGGTAGATGAAGTCCTCATCTGCCTCCGACATCCGAAGATAAGCAGCATCTCACCGACCTCCTTCCCGATCTGCTGGAGCTGTCGCCGCTCGGCGATGAATGCCCGGAACGGCGCCAGACCTGTGCCTGCCGCAACCATGATAAGCGGGCACTTAGCCAGGGTGGGGAGCTTGAATTTGCTTTTACGGAGGTGCGAGAGCAGCTTTCCGCCTTGTAGGGAATCACTTGGTCCGTTGAGATGGTATGTGAGCCCTTCTGGGTGAGGAGCCGAGCGGAGGCTCTCCGAGACCGCGAGGAGGTAGTTGGACGTAACTCCGTGGATCAGTTTGTCTCCATTCTCAGGAACGGGGGTAGTCGAGACGACTACTGTGATGGAGGCCTTGCGCGGGGAGATTATACTGCTTGATGAGATAGAGTAATATCGGGGTTGCATGAGAGGGAGTGTTTCGACGAGGTATGATAAGGGGATGTTCCATGTGTTAGTACTGGCTTGTTGCAGCAGTCGGCCGAGGTTAACATGGTTCTTGTTGATAAATGCAGCATAGCTGGCCTTATCCTGACCGAGTTGCTGGAGGTATGCCTTTGCATCCGGGGTTGGTGCGAACTGTGCCAGTCCCAGGACATTGTCCCGATTCACGGGACCGCAGATCTCGAGATAGTAACGGAAGACAGTTGCGACGGTGGTTGGGGATGGAATCTTTACTTTCGTGGCGGAGTCAAGTGACTTGATACTGATAGGCACGTCACGCCGCGATGAGAGACCCAGGGCCTGGAGGAGACGCTCCACTTCGGAGTCAGGGTTTCCGGGCCAGATGGCCAGATGATCACCGGTCTTGTATGTGAACTCCGGTTGGCTGGTGAGATCCAGATCTATGTGAAGACAGTGTCGGTTGGAGGAGTTGAACAGCTCCCGAGATGTGGAGATGGCCAAGGGCCGGATGGGCGAGCACTGAGCCTTAAGGGAGCCTGCGTCCGGCTCTCCATGGTGCAGGTCAATCGGCTCCAGGGATTCGTCCTCTTGTACAGATAAGGTGGGCATGTACTGAACCTCATGTTCCTGGAAACCTAGGCCCTTCAGTACGGCAAACAGGCTCTCCTTCCAGGTCATGAAGTCTTCCTGAGTGGCACCTTCGGCATCATCGGCCTTTCCGACCGGCATCACCGCTGTCGCACCTAGTTTATCCAGCGCCTCCACCACGACGTCGACGACACGGTTATAGTACTTATAGTTCCTGTTTCCCAGACCGAAGGCAAAGTACCTTACGGACGACAACAGCTGCCCTTGGTCCTTAGTCTTGTTGACCCAATCCCATAACTCCGCCGTGTTATCACTCGGATCTCCCTCGCCATATGTGGAGAGGAGGAGCCCGACCAGCTTTGACTGTGGAACCTCAGCGATCGTCTCGGGATCATAATCGGACAGGTCTGCCGTCATGGCGCTCAGGCCGAATCGCAAAGAGATCTCTCTCGCCAAGCGGTTGGCGAACCCCTCAGCAGTGCCGGACTGGGAGCCCCAAAAGACGACCAAGTCCTTGTTGGACTCTTCCAATTTCGTGGCGATGTTTCGGGTTTCTTTTGTGGCGGAGCGGCGGCACCTCCATTCTTGAGCTGTGGTCGTTCGTACACGAGATGCTGGTATGGATCCGGCTGGTCCCACAGGTAGCCCCGCGAGAGATATGTAGTAGCTGCCACGGAGAAGATAGCTAGTGCTGAGTAGTCGGCAATACCGGTGGGAGTGAGTGTTTTAGAGAGCTCTTGCAGAGCCTCGGGGGGGATGTTGAGGGGCAGATGCCACGGGGGCGTCATGGTGTGACTGTGGTGTGACTGTAGTGCAATTGATGGAGAATGTGAAATTCAGTAGGTTTGATAGTCATGAGAGTCAACCGGAGAGGAAAATGGGGAGTGATGGAAGGCTGAGTCTTATATCCATTGCAAGCAGGTATAGAGAGACATAGTGCAAAACTACCCAAATAGGGAAAAACGACAAGATTCGGAAGCAACATCCCTAATCGAGACCGTCGGTTTTTGAGCATCTTTTATTTTATTTTATGTTTTTTTTGGCTCCACTTCGCAAAAGTCACGAAAACACGGGCGACATTTCTTGATCCAGCAAATCCACGTTCAAACAGAGTTTATCGTGAGGGCCTCGACATCTGGGGAAATCAGGGAACGTGGGGAAACTCGAATTAAGTTACGATATGATATCAATTTTGCGGAGGCGTGCCAAAGGAGAAAAAGACAAAAAGAAGAAAAGGAAGGGGAAAGATTCTCTCGCGGGGAATTTTTCTTCTTCAGGCGGAGGTTGATCTTTTAGGGTTATTTTAAGCACTTGATTTTAAGCGCTTTCGATCACGCACGGGGCAGAAAGTGGCCAAAAGGAAAGTGGATCAGAAGCCAAGCTGATGTGCGCTGGTCAACACGCGGGGGAATTGAGAGCTTGATGTTCATTCAGCGACATCCCGATATTAAATCGATCATGGAAATATACAGATGGTGATCAATAACCTACAGGAAACCCCGACTCTCAGCGCAGAACTTGGAGGTCAGTACTAGTATCTTGCTCGCTATACCCCAGAGAATATAGGACATCCAGAATGAAAGATTCATTCCCAGGGTTGTTTACGGTAGTATCTAACAATAAACCGGACTTGTCGAAGTAGTAGATTAAAAGTATATATTGGAACTTGCGACTGACCAATGCCGGATATCTCACACGTCTATCTAAGGTGACTCTGATATATAATTGGAAGTTATAACTAGTTTCCATGCCCATCAACGCAACAAGAGGATATAATATATTGATACGCTGTAAAGTCTATGCCAAGATAAGAAAGCCCAAATGGCGCAAGATCAAAAAGAAAACGGTGATAAGAAGAAGGGAAATCGTGAATATTTTAGACTGTTCATGCCTCCCGCAAATTGCGTCTCCACACCTTAACCGGCATATCCCCCAAGATCAGATTCATGGTCTCCAACCGCTTCAACTCCCATCCGGGATAGGGCAGTGCAAAATCGTACCGATGCACCAGCGTAGCCAAGATCTTAGTCTGCTCCAGATAAGAGATGTTTCGGCCAATGCAGGATCTCGCACCCGCCGAGAATGCAATTAAGTATGGTTGAAGAGCCTTGCCTTCTTCCCCGAGCCACCGCTCAGGAATGTACTGGTCTGCCTTGGGGAAGACGCTCTCATCACGGTGTGCTACATATGCGGACATGCTAACCGACGTGTTGCCGGGAACCCATTCGCCCAAGATCTCCATACCCTCCGGCGGAGTTTCACGAGGAAGCCCATGCGAGGTTGGTGGGAAGATGCGGAGAGATTCATCCAAGCATGCACGGAGATACGGGAGGTGTTTCACTTTATCGTAGGGTGCGACGATCTCGTCCGCGTCCAGCACGGCGTCGATCTCCTCTTGAAGCTTTTTCAAGCTCTGTGGGTTCCGAAGGAGCTGATACATGACGTTCGCGATGGCGATGGCGGTGGTAACACTGCCGGCATTCATCATAATGTTCATCTCAGCCACGATCTCACCCCATTCCAAGTTGTTGGCTCGGCCGTTCTTGTCTTCCATCATCGCCTGGAAGAAGTCTTCGAGCTTCTCCCCTGCCTCATACCGACGCAGGCGGTTCATTGATCGACGCCACACGATGTTCTCCCAATTATCTGACGAATTCTGCATCCGATTGAAGAATGGTATCACGTTGACCAGCTTGTTGAGGGTCGGGTACCATTCATAGTTCCACAGAATGAGCGACTGCTTGCGAGCAGTGGGGTAAAGGGCCTCACGGAGGTTGACCTCATATGTGGAGCCGTCCTTTCTCTCAGCAACACAAACATCGCTCCCCGAATCCAGAAAGCCAAGCTTCTCCGAGAGCCCAATATCAGCGATCGCATCGAGAGTGAAGAAATTGGTCCAAGCTCGAAAGTCAACTGTAAGGTCGTTCGGATCCGGTGCTGCCTTACCCGCTGCCACGGCAGCCGAGGGTGCCGCCGTGCATACTTTGTCGAAATGTGCGACAACTTTCTCGACTTTATCACTGACTTTGTGCTCCCATGTCTCCAAGTTCTTAAGCGCATATGCGGAAGAGAGGACCTTGCGCTTCCGTGCGTGGTCAGGCTTGTCGACCACATCAGCAAGATGGTAGTGCGTTCCAGCCGTCACAATATAGGAGGGATCCTTGATACACTTGGTGTTGTGTCCATATATATCCTTGATAGCACGTACATCACCGTACGATAGCGCATTAGGTCCGGTTCGAATGACAGGCTTGGTCCTGTGTATTTCCTGAAGCTCCTTCGAGCGGAAACCTCTCGATGCTAACATCATGAAAGGTACCGCAGACATCCCAGAGAAGGGATTCAAGTTGGGGTATTTTCGAAGCCCTGGTGATGTCAGCAGGATGTCTCAAAGGGGGGAGGGGGCTTCTTGTCAAACACATACCCTTGGGGTCCCGGATGTACTCTACCCATGGAAAGATAACAAAATACAGAAGGGAAAAGAGGCCCAGCGCAAGCGCATACGGGGCGATAGATAGAGCGGACCACATATTGGGCTTGATGGTCTATCCCTCAGGACAAGGAGGCAATATAAGATGGAAATGAAGAGAGGAGTTGAGAAGAATGATTTCCTGCTTGTCCAGCCATTGTGATACACGAAGCCAGATACTTATATCCAACGGCAACCAAGGAACCAGAGGCAATGGAGTCGTGAAGCGCCTCTGGCGATCGTAAATTGTTACTTTCCATGGGAACGATGTACAGGACAACGGGGTAAACTTCCCATCATGATCAGGCTGAAGGTGGGCTGCACGTGCGGGAAATATTTCCCTTTTATTTTCCCCCAGCCAGTCATGTGCCAATCGCGATATCATTATAAGAAATCGTGGGGCTCCATCTGGACTTCAACCGAACGTCACTACTCCGCATTTTCTCCTATGGGCTCTCGCCAAAATGGTCAAGGAGCGGCTACTATCCAGTTCGTGTCATTGGATTTGATAATATCACTAAGTAGAATCCCATGCTGCACGGCATTTGACGCAGTAACCTTAAGGGCACTCGACCAGTGATGGGGCGGATAAACGCTACCAAGGGCTGCAGAGCCTGTAATGGCCTGAAAGGCAACTTCGGGTCTGGGGGAGCCCACATCGGCAGTTCTCCGCCCCATGGAACGCGACGGAATCTGGGGCCAATACCCGTGGTGGGTGAATTCAATGCACTGGCGTGAGGGGAAATATCTACTATATGTATGTTGTTTTGTTTCAGGACTTAGTGGTGGACGGGTGAGTAGCCAGGTTGATTATACATTCTTCATTCCGCGTTGTCTTCCCTCAATCTCGATTTTTCCCATGTGTTATCCTTTGTATTGATATATTCCATACCCTAGTTGATCTTATGACACGGTCATGCAATCGATGATGGATTCTGATTCACTGAAAATCTCCGATAATAAAGCGGAGATCTTCCACGACGAGGACCTGGCCTCAATGGGCTTGGATGACTCCATTGAGAAAACGGATCCCGGGAAGGCAGTATGGCTGATTGTCTGTGCCGTGTCTATGGGTGGCTTTCTATTCGGTAGGTGGCACTGGTGGCCTAGTGATGTAGCCTGCTTATGAATCCCACTAATTGAATGACTCGCCAGGTTATGACACCGGGGTCATTTCTGCCGTACTCGTCAATCTGGGGTCGGACCTGGGGAAGCCACTCAGCTCCAGTGAACAAGAATTGGTTACCTCCATCACCTCCGGAGGCGCTCTGATAGGCTCAGTAGCAGCGGGCATGACAGCCGACAAATACGGCCGCAAACTTGCCATTTACGTAGGCTGTATCATCTTCTTCATAGGGAGCATAATTCAAGCAGCCGCATACTCGCTCCCCCAGATGACCGTTGGCCGCCTCGTTGTGGGCTTCGGCGTCGGTGAGGCCGCGATGATTGTCCCATTGTACATTGGAGAAATGGCCCCGTCACGGTTTCGTGGTCGCCTCATAGTCTTTGACAATATATGTGTCACGTTCGGTCAGCTTGTCTCATACGCACTCGGCGCCGCATTGACGAACGTGGCTTCTGGATGGAGATACATGGTGGGCCTTGGCGCAGTACCTGCTCTATTGCTCATTGCGTTGATGCCATTCTGCCCTGAGACACCTCGCCAGTTGGTCCTACATGGTCGAATGGAAGAGGCTAGGCGTGTAATTGCAAAGATATTTCCACGAGCCACTGACCAGCAGGTCGATGCGAAAGCAAGACTAATTCGACATTCAATTGAGGAAGCTACTGCGTCGATATCTAATAAGAGCCTTGTATGGCAGATGAGGCAGCTGTTTACCGTTGGGCAGAATGTGCGAGCCTCATAACCGCTTGTGCCGTCATGGCGGGTAGGTGAACCCTCGGGTCTCATCCTTTAGTGTTCCCAGCTAATAGCGAGCAGTTTCCCAGCTAGGAGGATTCAATACGCTTATGTACTACTCCGCCACTCTATTCTCGATGGTTGGGTTTGACCAGCCCACGGTGGTGTCAATAGTGGTTGGAGCCACCAACTTTATATTTGGGTTCCCAAACTTCTTCTTCATTGACCGCTTCGGTCGACGACGTATGCTCCTGGTTACTATCCTTGGAATGGCAAGCATCCTTTCAGAAACACAACATCTACATTGAAAGAGAGATCATGCTAATCGTGAGTAGTGCTTATCTTTGGTTGTTGCCTCCGTAGCCTTCCACTGGATTCCAGTGAACCATGACCTCACGGCCGTCGAGACGCGCGAGATGGGCTGGCCTAATATCTTGCTTCTTGTGTCTCTCATCGTG